AAAGTTTTTAGTCTTGTAATTAAGTTTACAATCCACCTTTTGTATTGCAAATAAATGACATTTAATTTATATATTCTTAACTGAATATTATCTTTTCTACTCAACATGGGGGACATTGACATAAAGACTTTTCATATCACTATTTTGTCATTATTAATTCCATTAAAGTGATTGATATTTTCGTAACTTTCTACGGGAAAGTTTTCTCACTTTAAAGTTAGAAGTTCCAAACATTTCGTGAACGACCTGCGACCTTTTGGAAACACGTGACTTCACCACTGAAGTGAAAGGAAACCAACCTGATAAGTTTATATAATATAGACTATTTTCCTAATCTTAAAAGACAACAACTCTGTTAGGACAGTTAGAAAAAATTTTTAAATATTCTTAAGGCCAATGATCGGCACTGACATAGCGGTGGACTGAAGTTATCTACGCATCTGCAGTCTTACAACCCCGACAAAAATCGTCGATTAGTAGCAGTTGTTGAAACATGGATCTATTACTTCACATCTGTGGAAAAGCAACATGCCGGCAACATGAACTCAACAATCGGGTGGAAAAGTGAAATAATTTTCATAGACTATTTGGAAAAAGGAGAAACAATAACATCAGACTATTATTGCATTTTATTGGATCGATTGAATGAGGAAATCGAGAAAAAGCGACCACATTTGTCAAAGATAAAAAGTTTATTTTTTGTAAGACAACGCACCCGCTCGAACAATGGCAAAATTAAATGAATCACGGTACAAATTGCTTTCTTACCCATCTTATTCTCCAAATTTGCCTTCCACTGACTATTACCTGTTCCCAAACTTAAAAAGATGACTCCAGAGAAAGAGATTTGCATCAAACAATGAGGTGGAATGGGCTTTCCCATATAATATATATATGGTATATTATGAAGAAGTTGATAAATCATATTATTTAAGAAGTATCCAAATGTTGTAAGATCGTTGGACTTAGTGTGTTGAGTTAAAACGGGACTATATTGAAGCATGAAATATAATTTTTCAAAAGAAATGCGTTGTTATTGCTTAAGCCGGATATTTATCAATCCACCTAGTATTAGAGATGTGATTACAACTTGATTGTTTGCAAAATTTGTGAAATGCATTTCAGGAACCGTATGAACCGTATCACAAAGATGATTTGCTACATAATAATTATTAAGCAAAGGAGAGTTTATAAAATTTTGCACTTCCTTGAAACTGTTTTAAGATACAGATCTCTAAATTTATGATTTTTAGTGGAATGAGTGATAGTAAAAAAAAAAAATTAACTAGTTAATATTCCAAATATTATATACATAAAGTTTTATCTCAGTTGCAATAATAATTTATCATGCTTTAATGATCTTTATAATCGTAACTTCGCTAGAATTATAATTTTACATTAAATACAAAATGTATGAGTGAAATAGGTTAGGAGCATTACGGTGAAAATAGTATAATTTAGTACAAAGCTGACTGCTCCTTTTTGTTCTAACATTTCTAATTCCCTTATTTGATGTCCTTTCTATTTTATAGCTCTTCTCAAATTGTGTCCTTACATGCGAAGTTGGGGACAGTTTTAGCTTCGCCAACAAATCATAAACACTGAACGCTGTGGCACTACAAATCCTGCCTCTGTGGGTACATATAAGGCACATACAACCAGAGAAACATTTTATGGATTAAAAATTATATACAAACAAAGATAATCTGAATGTGTTACAAAATATTTAAATGGCTAAGAAAATATTTGCCTAAATGTGTCAGGACACGGAATTTGTTTAAATCAAAAAAAAAAAAAATAAACACTTTCCTCGGTTGGTTCTGAATTGGCTCGGTTCAAATAAGTTCATTTTTTTTGTTTTTTTTTTTGTTGTGCAATTGTTTTGTGTAACTTTTGTGTGTTGGATTTTAATTGGATTACCGCTCGCTGTACACAGCAAACAGTCAAAATCGGGCATTCGTGTTAATATTTTCTCCGTTACTTGGGATTTAATGACGTTACCGCACTTATGATGACTTCAGCTTGGATGACGCGAAATTTATTGCTTGTTCAAATTTGTAGAATAATGAATTCATGACGATTTCGTTAGAGTTTCGAGTTCACCCATAAAGACCCTGTTATTTACAATAACGCCGTCATAACGTGGAGCTGTAAACTCTGGCATGACACCAAAAAGTGTTGAAAATATCCTCCATGATGACGGTATATGAGGTAATCAAGTCGACGGAACAATGGAATGCGTTCGAAATTTGTCAGTGAGTTTCAGTAGGAGTGTCCTTACCACTGTTTTTCACAATTCATTTTCATTGCCAGGCAGCTAACAGCATAATCAGGAACGCGATTTTAGTTACCGTTTCTCATATCCGCTTTCAATTTATGTTTATTACTTGTTTAATTAATTAATTTTTGGTTAAGGAAAGGTTAAAACGCGAATTTACGTTATTCTGTTGCGATTAAGGCATTTTTAAGGAAGTAAAAATTATGTTAAATATTGAGTTTAGCTTTCAAAATAATATAGTCTGACTTATAAATAGAATAAAAATGTGGAAATAGTTAAAAAGGCGCTCTTGAGTGTTATGAAGTAGCAGGTATATTCCATGTTCCGTTAGTGCTTATTGAAAGGTCAACTAATTTTAGAAAGTTATTTTATTATTCCAGTACCCTAAATAGGAAAATGTAATTAAAGCAAAGGAGTATATAAAGTGTCGTCAAAGTGTATAAATTTCAATAGCCTTGTCCCAATAGCCAATTTTTCGTAAGAAAATGACAATTATGCCAGTCAGAATAATAGTACTGTTCTCAGTAAGAGACCTGAACTTTATAAAGTAAAGTTAATGAAATGTCAATGAAGAAAAAATTATGGCCTATTGATAATGAACTTAATAAAATTCAACAAGGAAACAATCATAGCGAATTGATATAAAAAGTACCGGCGGTTTTCTTATATATTTTTAAAAAAAAATATGAAAAATTAATTTTAATTAATTATATATATATATTATATGTAATTATATATTTTTCGGATAGCTTCATATTTCCTTTGATATAGAAATTCTATGATTGGCAAAGTGATTTTCAGCGGCAGTACGATTGAGCAATTTTTTACCGCAAAGAAAATTTTGTAGACACTAAAACAAACAGTAATCAGAAGATACAAGTTCCAGACGGTGGATGCATCAAAATTTCCTAACCGAATTTCGTCAATATGTTTCGAGCCATCAATGACACGTGGAACACAACTCGTTTTCTGTTAATCAGCTCTGGACGTTTTTTCTTGATTGCTTTGTTCAAGCGCTCGAGTTGTGTGGAATAGAGCAATAAACGAGTTAATCGTTTCACCAGACTAAAGCAGCTGGTAATATATAATACCATCACAATCTCACTAAACCTTGTTTGACGTCAATCTAGACTTTGAAATCGTTTGTAAAGAATAACCAGCCTTTAATCATGATCGCTTATGTTGAATATTCTCGTATTTATCTGATTTTTCGTTAACCTTAATGATTCGCTTCAAACATGGTTCCATTTTGTTACTTTTTGATAACATGTTCTTTTGACACATTCGGATTAATGTTGCAAGATATGTGGATACCAACATCATCTAGTGACAAAAAAAAATGTCAGTACTTTTATATCACCTAATGTTTTTGTTGTTGTGATTTGAGTTAGTACTATTGCGCACTTTTCCTGCTTATCCCTACCCCACACTAAACTTTAACTTATACTAGAATTATTATCATTTATTTATCTTCTAACTGATGACGTACCGTAGATCAGCATATCTTCCTGTGTGTCCTGAGGTGGACTTACGGTTTGTTGGGGAGTGGTTGGGCAACGTATCAACTTTAGGGCTCTGTCACTTGGTATAGCTTATATAATAATATGTGATATCTTTACTGAAAGAATACATAGGAAATTTAGTTATGATAACAAAATCAGTGCATGTTATTTATATGCTTTTGATAACCAAACTTGCAAAACTTATACAAGACGCATTGAAAGTGAAATTCTTTACTTTTTCATTGGCCCTCCAACTGCTTGAAAATATTCATAGTTTTATTATTGCAGATATGTCTCGATCAGTACGTAAGCAATATTATAATAACACTATAGAGATATTTGCAGTCTCAAAAAATTATTTGTGAATAATATACTACAAGAATTATTTCCAAGACTACTGATGATGGGTATTTGGCAATACTCGAAACAGCTGTATGGTCGGCCAAAAATTCAATTAATTAAAATAATATAAAATAAATTTTGATTGTTGTAGTTCACTACTTTTCGAAAAACCTCTTCATAGTGATTTATGTTAAACTTAAAATCCAAATTCAATCGACTGATATGCTTTATTTAAAATTTGATTTTGAACGCTGTGTGGTGTTTTCATTGGAATATAAAAGATCGTAAGGATTCCTTTTCAATATTTACCGAGATATACTATATCAAAAAAAGTCTGACGAGAAAAAACCTAGAAAATCAAATAAGCAGTTGGTTTTTTTTTTTTTTTTGAAATTAAATATAATTTCTTACTCTATTGAATATCTTTTATTGACTATTATGTTGAGGCTAGTTGAGTCAGTGCACTTGAGCACTTTTACTCTCTATTAACTGCGAGGTTTCTTCATAACCACTCTCTACACCTTGACTGGATTGTTGTTTATCATATCATCAGACTAAGCAATAACTGACCTCAGATCTACATACCTCCCCGAGGAGCCTGTAACAATTCTGAGATTCGACAGCTTCATGTGAGTTACACTATGCGTGTTTTTCTATTATGGGTATTCTTAACAAATAATGTCACCACCTAATCTGACAAATGCGAGAAAAAATTTCCTTCCAAAATTGAAAAGCGTTTTGTTTATTTGATGCACTTTTTTTTATTTTATTAGATTTCTCGTCTTATATTGTCTATATCGACGAGTTTAAGTATGCATAAAATAATAAATAATTTTGTACATTTATTATATATAGTACATCATTATAAAATGAGATTTTAATAAATAATGAAAAGTTCCTAAGAACTCTTAGGAACTTTTCATTACTAAATTTTGCTTCGGTAAACTCTGTACATTTTATTTTCTATTTCTCCAAATTAACAAGAATTTTTTTTTCTAAAATCATCCTTTTGTGAAGGTCTGCTACATTCTTTAGAGGATCCAATTAACGATGTGTATACAGAGTGTTTTTAAAGTTATGTTACTTATAATTTTAATCGGAATGAAAAAAAATGTTATTGTCCGTATTTATAGATTTTTGAAAGTAGTTTTTCTTGAGTCATGTTTGAAACATCATTCGAATGTTTGCTGCCCTGCGACTTTTTTCCCTTAAAAACGGTTGTGTCGACAGGGAGAATTTTTTTAATTATGTGTGGTTGTTGATAAAGGGTTTTACTTTTTGGTATCAGGACAGGCCATCTGAAACAGAAATTGTATTACTGTCCTAGTCGGACGTCCAGTCATTCTTTCCTTCAGCAAGTATGGCATCGTTCCAAACTTTGTGAGCATTCCTACACCACGTATGTCAAGATGCGCCCAATCAATACAAGGCACAAATTCCTATATAATAAATAGGAATAAATGGAAAAAATAAATGGAAAATTTTTAGCGAAGGAATGAGAATGATATTAGAAAACTCTTACATGCAGTATAGCAGCTGCAAGGCATGCAGAAGCCGGGCCTTTTCCATCGTTGCTCACATCGAAGCTGTTGTTATCTGAAAAATATAATTTTAAGTTAGAAACTATAAATATCATATAACCTTTTAAATATACTTGTCACAAGCTTCTTGAAATAATTCCACAACGGCAAACGCCACATTCTGTCACCGGTTACAGTTCCAGCCATTTGGAACTGCTTCCAGATGAAATTGGAATTAGAAAACAGTCCTGTCGCTGACCCTCCCAAAGCCTGCCCCACTCCCCTGCTCAGCGTGGCAACGTCAACAACTAGACGTGGTCTATAAACAGCCTGCGCGTAAAGAATTGGGTCCGCCATCATAACTACACCTGCTTTGTCCGTATCCTATTTGTTACAAGTATAGTTTCATCATTTTATAAGTTTAATTAAGATATATTTTCTTTTTTGAAATATTACATACTCTCACAGATAGTGTCTTCCTATTCAGTAATGTGACAACATCACCAGGTTTGGCTGCCATACCGGATGGTATATTTTCACAAAGTGGTATAACACCCGTAACGTTAATGGGAAGAGACAGGGCTGCTGCTGCTCGGATGGCAGCTACAACAACTGCAGCTCCTGCCATCGAACCTCTGTACTCAGCCATACCACGTCTACTCCGTAGGCAAAGACCACCACTAAAATTTAGAATACATAAATTTTGGATAATAACTATACCACTTAACTATGATATTACCTATTAAATGTAATGCCTTTACCAAGTAACAGTATAGGCTTATCCTCTGGTGATGTGCCACAATAACTGATTTCTAACAAGACTGGTGGTTCGCAGGAGCCCTTCGCTATCATTAGAAATGAGTTAAGGCGCTGCAGCTCTATCCATTCCATACTATGTATGTCGACTGTCACACCGCAGGGGCACAGGGCGTCGACAGCCGACTGAGCAAAGTGAGTTGGCGTCATTCGATTTGCTGGTGTATCTGTTAAGCGTCTAGCCAAATTCTGTGCTTCTGCCTTAAATAAACCACGAGTCCATGCATCGATATCTGGTGAGTCGTATAGCTGCAGAACTGGCGAAGGTGTGCGATGCTTTTCCAGCTTATAATCATTATAGCGGTAAATAGCTAAAGAAGCACCTTCCGCTGCTTGTTCAGCATAATCAAGACCGTCAATGAATACATCAGAACAACCTTGATATTGTAAGCTACGTGCACCTACGCCAGCTGCTATACGAACATTTTCCTAAAAAATTTTTAATATACCATAAATTACGGACTACTATATACTGCAATGACAGACTATTATATTGTGCATAATAGCCCAGAGAAACACGGAATTTTTTTACTACATGAACTACGGAGCTACAACTACTATTTTTACTACAGTTTAATGTCAATATGTATAAAGTTTGGTATCCCTGTAGTGCAATTTGGCGATTTGGCTCTTCATTTGCTAGGCTTACGTTTATTATGGTGTCGAAGTCGAAATACATGGTATCGAAGTCGAAATACATGGTGTCGAAGTTCTGGAAAACCTCTATCATAAAGATGGAACCTACATTCTTCATTCACTTTTTTTTTGTATTTTATTTAGTTTAAGACAACCGGCTATCAAATAGGTATATGAAGAAATTTTGAAATACAACACGAGAAAAGCTTTTTCCTATTCTTGACTGGTAATTTCTACTGAATGGTAGTAGATGATTTTTGCTCCAAAAGAAAAAATTATAAAAATCAATGATAAATATGGGTTGGACATACTTTTATTTTTAAAAAAATTCCATCTGTCTGACCTATTATTACTATATAAAAATTGGTTACAAACTAAACTAAAATTCTTGTCTTTGAAAATTAAAGTTTATGTCAAAGAATTTTATCATTTTGATAAATTTTTTTTGTTATAATAAAAAAATACTTTTATGCCTGTTTACTATTAATGACTGTTACTCACCATCCCTTCGTCAATCATCTCCATTTCATTAAAGCCCACGTTTTGTGCACCCACGCCCACAAGAGCAATGGATCTAAATTCAGGGTCGATATTATTAAACACTTTTCCTTTACCTACAGCACCCGTTATATTCCATCTATGCAAATATACATAAAGGGTACATGTCATTATTTATATATATACGTATATAATTTTATATAGTCAGCTTCATGCAGTATTTAACTTACGCCCTTATAAGATCCATGATTTTTCCATTGACTCGATCATTAAATTTCTCAGCAGTAGCGCTTAACTTGGGTTCAGCATCCCCTTCGCCTTCATAGACCCCAAGTACTAGTCCTTTCTAATTATTTATTGGAACAATTAATTATAAAAGTTTGCAATAATATTATATATGGTTAAACTTACAATTATTTTATTATCGGACAATGTGGAAGCAAATTGTTTCCATATACAATGGTTCGCCCGCCTACACAAATCTTTTTCCAAAATTTTGAGGTATTGAGAACTAAGCGGTAAAGCCATTATAGAAAAATATCGACAAGCGTACTTTCAATCGATTTTATAAAATATATTTATCAATTGATCTTTTCTTAAAATTCTGTAAACGCAAAATGACAAAAATAAAAATTTTTATTTCTATATTTGATTCAATTGACCGAACAAATTTATTTGAAAATGTCGATGACAACTAAGATCTTTTAAAGTGTTTTTTTTATAATTAAATTTAGTTAATATTGATAGTCTCAATATAGTGATAAAATATGTAATAGTAATATAACAATACATACATAATATCAATAATATGCTTTATTAACAGTGCTATGTGGAATGTTATATTTATTTATTATCAATAATGCTTTAAAATGCCAGTATTAAGATTTTTGCCAGCTTTTTGCCTGTCTATATAATTTTTAATAATGTTTTTCATTGGCCGACTTCAAATGTTTGTGGAAATAGAGTGAACGAATACTTCCGGATGTTTAAATTTTTATATTTAAAATATGATACATCATATCATCAACATATGGAAGAAAGTTGCAAGTGAGTTGATAACTTCAGCTTATAAAACCGGAAGTCGGGTGAATAATAGTTAAAAGGAATTAGAGAACTTATTGTAGCTATGGGTGCCACATATTTCATAATATTGCATAAGTAGGTAGAATGAAAAAAGTCTTTCACATTTATTGACCTTCACTCAAAAAAAAACCATCAAAAATAAAGTCCCTGAAACTTGGAACTTAAACATTTTGGTTTGAGAGAGATACAATAATTCTTGTACGATTCTATTTAAAGTTTTTACAAACAAAATTTCAACAACTATCCAGTATCTATTTAATTTCAATAGAAACTAAGTATATTGTACCATTGGTTTCAGCCTTGTGACGCAAGTAAACATAACTTCTCTCCTTAATTCATCTCTTCTGATGTGAGCAGTCATTTCATATAAACTATCAATATATTTGAAAAGAGCCCGTATATCTTAAGTTAGCGCCTTTCTTTTTCGAGCAGTCTTATGAACATATTTTGCATATACATTGCATATATCTTCAACATAATCATTAATGATTTCTGGTCAGAGAGACTGCGGATACTTGCATCGTTAATATTTTGAACCAGAAGAAGACCGAGGGTGTTTACGGAGCAGTACAATATTTCCAAGTAAAATATGTGAAACAAATTAACTTAAATGAAAAAATAAACTTACTTGTTACTAATTAGGTACTTCAATAGTAGGAGTTGAAATTAGAGAGTAAAAAATATACATTAACATCAATTCTTTAAAAGAAGCACCTTTTATCTTTTAAATATACTTTTATTTTGCAATTGAACTTTTTCAGTTCCTGTATCACAAAATCTATAGCCGATGATAACTTATTTCTATTTGAAATAAAAAAAATTTGACATTTATGGATGTTGCATACCTGAAATATAATTAATATTGCCTTGCTTAGTTGTTAATGCTAATGGTTGCATTTAAGCATTGCCAGACCTATTAAATATTATAATACATAATACATAAAAAAATAAATAAATTTATTTCATTAACAAAATTATAATAAAAAAAAATTGTATATTACTTTTAAGTGTGAATATTATATTATTTAATAGCCGTAAGTTTTTCTTTCAGAGTAGCAAAAAAATACTCACAACTTACGAAAGAAGAAATGTAAAGCAACAATAATGCTCTTAAAATCTTCAGAGTTAGGTTTTACTCGCAAAAATATTTAAGTTCTAGTGCAGTTAAATTCAAAAATTATTTTATTATGTATATTTACTGGAAATAAGCTGCAAAATTCTAGTCCTCCGTTAAAATCACATGAGCATTTTATTTACTAATAAATTCAAATACAAATAAATAAATTAATTAAAGAGGTTTTTTCGAACAGTAGTGAACTACAACAACAAAAAATTTTATTTTTATATTATTTTAATTAATTGAATTTTTGGCTGATCATACAGATGTTTTGAGTATTGTCAAATATCCATCATCAGTGGTCTTGATAATAATTCTTGTATTTAATTATTCGTAAATAATTTTTTGAGACTGTAAGTACCAGGAATCGTACTTGTGCCCTGCCAAATTTGAAGCTGAGAGTCAGTGCACCTTAACCAAGTGATACAAAATCAACTTGACTTTTATTATCATATATTTTTCTGAATTTTGTTAATTTACTGTGAAAGTTTTATTTACATATTCAATTGCTGTGTTTATATTAGAACGAAATGTTAAACCAGCTGTAGAATAATTGAATTGAATTAATTAATTATATTTCTTAATTTTAATTGTTAAATTTTAATACTAAATAAATAAATTAATTTAAATATATAGGATAAGAATGTCATTGCACTTCTAATGTTAATTTTGTGTTCTTGTATTAAAATTAGTTAATTTTTAGTGTTTACACTTTTTATAATTTATATTGTATATAACACCACAAAAAACATATGTCAAATATAAGCAGTTGACGTATATAAAAAGTGTTGCCAATTTTTTTCAACCAGACTTAATGCTGTTTTTTTAAAACTCTGAAAGAAAAAAATACAACTAATAATACATCAAATTATATTATCAATGTATTGCTACCTCTCTATTGCTTAACATCTTTTAATACTTTAATATTGAATGGTATCACTGAACTACTAAATTGTAAATTTAAGAGTTTCAAAACATTGTAAGTTATTGAAAAATTGTTTAAAGGAAGAATTAAATGATATTTATTATATATATAAAATGGATGTTGTGTCTAAGGTCAGCGCATATGAGTTATGTTAATTCAGATTTTTGCAATGTAAATGAAAAATTTGAAAATGATAGCAAGAGAGAAATTTCGATTCAATTTTGGCCATTCTAACAAGACATTCTATAGGGATCATATTATGCAGAAAGTCATGGACGCATCAAAATTGGCTCTTTTGCATGTTATGCAGAGTAGCACAGAAATTGTATTAATTTGCACTTAAAAGACACAAATGTTGGCATTTGTTACTGAACAACACTGCTACGATTAAGGGACATGTTATGATTGCAGTCACGTGGTGGCAACTCTTGTTGCTTTCAATACAAAATGAAGATTTGACACTGATAGCTGACTTCATATAGTTTCTTTCTCACACACAATTTTACAATTTGCATTCAAAGCAACAACAATTTTGCTCATTACGAGACCATGACACTCTACATAACATAGATGGCCCTAAATTAACCACTTCCTAATACTATGTTCAGACATACCCTAATTTCATAAAAATCTTAATTTCAACTTCGTTTCAGTGAAATTAAGTTGATTTTTCTATCTAAAATTCTGTTTTAAAGTTAGAATGAAATTAAGGAAAATGGCCTTAATTTATAGATAATTATAGATAAGCTTATAGAACTATTGAATGCCATGCTTTATATTTATAATAATCAACTTTTAAAATTTCCCATTATTTACATTCGATTTGTAAAAAAAAACATATGATTTTCTTAATTTGGGACAGCATGAAAACTTTCGAAATTAACTTAATTTCATTTTTAAGAAATTAAGGAAATTTGGTTATCTGACAGTTTTTTTCTATATTCAAATTTAAAAATTTGCAGTACTTTTAAAATATTTTACCGATTTTATTAAACTCAACTGTCGTTAACATTTATTTAAAAAAAATATCACTACGTGATTACCTCAACTTTATCTTTTGCTTAAAATTTATCTAACGCATAGTTGCATTTGAAATGTCCTTTAATTTCAGCCTTCGTTTCAATGAAATTAAGGTCATTTTGCTTAATTTCGTTCTAACCTTAAAACTGAGTTTTGTACGAAAAAAAAAATTAATTTCGCTAAAACAAAGATGAAATTAATATATTTGCGAAATTAAAGTGTTTATGGAAATAGTATAAGATTTACAAAAAAATTGACATTATTTCTGCAGAAACAAAAAAAAATTTTTTGACAGAAATGTCAAACACATATTACCAAAGATAGCTTTGAAAATTTTTTCAATTAGAAAAAAAATTACTTTATACTATTTTTTTATAAAATTATTGAAGCTTTACTGATAACAACAGATACTTTTTCTGTTAAGTAACTTGGAATTTAACTCTTCTCATACATCTAAGAAATTCAAAATTAAAAGTAAAATGGGTTTGGAAATTGAACGTTTTACTTCAGATACGGCGGGACAGTATTTATGTGGAATATGTCTTGATGTGCTACAAAGACCTGTCCAAAGTGTTTGGTGTCGTCACAGATTTTGCACAAACTGTATTTTGAAATGGATACGCATTTGTAACGAGTGTCCATACTGTCGTCGCACATATATACCAACATATATAAGTTCGTTCGCTCTATCTGGTCCATGGGTTATAAGATATTCGCAATTAACATTGCAGTGCCGTAATGCAGTTAATGGATGTCCAGAGATTATTCAGATACGTGATATAGATGAACATGAGGCAACTTGTCAGTTTGACAAGTCTTTGTCAAAAGTCTTTACGAGATTCATCTACCGTATTGTAAAAAGATTTGCTGCTCTTCATCAACAAATTAACAACGATGAGCTGGCACTGCTGTCTGCAAATACAATACGTTGTGGTACTGAAGAGCGACGTTTACTAAACCTAAGTCTTTTGGAGAGAGTCTATATATACATCGGGGTTCGTGCAAAATTCGCATACACCATAGTACGATTCATGTATTTTGCTATGAGGAACCTGTTCTAACTTGACATTTTCGCCGTATCTGTTGTTCTCCGTCGCCCATTTTACAAAACAATAAAACAATAAAGGAAATACATATATTTATATAATATATATGTGTTATGATGTGTTGCTGTATATGTCCTACATTCTCCAACAGCACAAAACCACCGGATATTTTTATACATTCGAGAAGATTTCTGTTTAATTTTTTTTGTAGTAAATATTGTTGATTTAATAAAGTAACCTGTTGAATATAATTTTTCACTGCGTTTTTAACTATATGTTTAAATATGTAAGTTACTTTTTTATAAGGTAATATAAATTTTAATTATGGAAGATAAAAGCCATAATGCATTTTTTTAATTAACAAATAAATAATGCGTAATTTTCGACCTGGCCTAGAAAA